AAGAAAAAAATAGCAGAAAGGAAATTAATTCAGTTTGGGAAACATTAGATGTCAAGTGCCAAAAATATACCCAGATAGAAAAACACACCAGGGAGAAAAATGTTAACCTGCAGCTTGTAAGGGAGATTGACCCTAAAGATGTAGGGAGTGGGGAAGAAAGCTTAAGTCTGTCAAGTACAAAAACAAGAGAAATGAGGGGAAGACAAGTCCTCTGAAAATGCCTCTACCACACTGAGTGGGTGGCACAAAAGGAAAGGAGGAATTACTAAGAGACAGACAGGAAAAGAACACAGACACACAAAGGAAGTGAAGACGATAAATTCAAGAGAGAGGAAGTGGGAGACAAGCTGCTTCAGAGAAAATGAGGGAGACTAAGACTAAGAAAAGGAGCTCTAGTGGCATAATAAAGCATTCAGCTGCTAACCCAAGGGTCTACAGTTGGAATCCACCAGCTGCTCCACAGAAGAAAAATGAGACAATTTCCTTTCACAAAGATTTACAGCCTTGGAAACTCTATTGGGCATTCCACTCTATCCTAAAAGATCTCTATGAGTTACAGTCAACTTGATGGCAGTGGATTTTTTTTTTTTTTTTAAGACTAAGAAAACCCCATGGGATTTCACAATAAAAGGACATTGATAACTTTTGAGAGACAGAATTTTGTACCTTAATGGTGATTAGTCAGATTACAGGGGGGATAAGGAGTGGTCATCTGTAGAGGCAGGGGCATGACATTCAGAAGGGCTGACAGTGAAAGGAAACTAAACCAAAAACCAAAGCCACTGCCACCAAGTTGATTCCAACTCACGACAACCCTCTAGGACGGAGGAGAACTGCCCCGAAGGGTTTCCAAGGCTGAAAATCTTTACGGAAGGAGACATCTTTCTCCCATAGGGTGGGTGGGTTTGAACCACTGTCCTTTTTGTTAGCAATCAAATGCCTTAACCACTGCACCACCAGAGCTCCTTACAGTGAAAGAAAGGAGAAATCACCAGACTAAGCTGCTGGCTTGAAGACCTGGTCTGTCTTGCTCACTGCTGCATCCCCAGCACCTAGAACAGTTCCTGGCTCAAAAATATTTGTTCATTGAATGAATAAATGTTATTATTTGATTAAATAAATGAGTTAATCAGTGAATACAGTACTGGTATTTGGGGAATATGAAAGAGCAATCTTCTTGTTATGGCATTTATGTAATTTGGGTACGAAGGGTGGAGTTGTTTTAAGATCTGGTAATATGATAAAGCCTGCAAGTGCAGCTCACACATTGTGCATAGTGTGGGATGGACAGTAAAGGTCTTACATAGATGTTGAAGTGAGTCTTTTTGACAGGGATCTGAGGGCAAAGGGAATCATTCAGTCCAAACACCAGAACTGGAGAAAAAAACTTAGAGTGTGTGCAAGTGGAAATCTCTCCCGGACTTGTATATGAAATAGTCCAGAGATACTGAAAGGAGCTCCTGAGGGGTGGGTTGTTAAGATGGAGCTCTCTACATGGGTCAGGAGGAAGCAAGGAATTAAGAAATCCAGGCATGCAAAATTGTGGAATCCCATTGGAGCTAGAGGTTACCTATCTCAAGCTGCTAATGGTTCCTGTACCTGTGTTAAATACCTTTGTTATGCCTCACATTTAAAGTCTGGCAAGTTCCAGTCTGGGCAGAAGAGTATAAAAGAGTTAGCCTGAACCAGGGGTAGGGATGAGGGGTTGTTCTGGTTACCTGTTCTGGTATATTCTTGTCAGCTGTGTCAAGAATATGCCACAAATGGGAGTTTATTCTCTTACAGGTTGGAAGCATTAAGTCCAAGTTCAAAGTATCAGACTCTAGGGGCTGGGTGAAAGCCCCTTAACCTTGGCTTCAGCTCTGCCTCCTGCTCCCAGCCCACTGGAGCTAGAGGCTTTTCTTCACTCAGACAGCTACTGGCTGCTGAGACTGACAAGCTCAAGGTTGACAAGTAAAAAGACACAGTCCTGATGTTACCAAACCACACGACAGGCCATTAATTCAAGACCACTGAAAGTCCCAAGGTTGGCAGAGCACAGCAGGCTGCTGAACAATGACACAGCTACATGCAGGGTTCAAGCATACCATAAGCTAGAGATCATTCCCAAAGCTGCTGCTTATATACAGGAAGCAGACCACTTACCCAAAGCAGCTACTCAGCTGCTTGTGGTAGATCCCACCATAGAGCTGACTGCCAGTCTCATCATGGGGAAATAACTACCACCAGTTGCCCAGCCACTCAGTCAGGCCCAACCAAGTTGACACACAAACTTAACTACTACAGGAGTGAGGTGGCAGCAGGAGTGGCAATAACAGGACAAGAGCCCTAAGCATTAGTGAGGTGCAGTCTCCTTCCACCAAGACACCTTGTAAGTTCAGTGTTTTGTTTTCATTGTATATGGTATTCTATTATAGAGAATATAAGGGAATTTTTTTTTCCTATTGTTTCTCATTTTGTTTTTGACAAAGGAGACTTATGTAGATATGAAGTCTAAAGGAGAAAAACTGGAATAGAGCAAAAGAAATAAGGTCAGAAAGTATAATTATAAAGAACTGATGAAATGTACTTAAACAAACTCTAGAAAAATGACAAGGCCATGAAAGCCAAAGGCTAGAAGGGAGTGTTAGTTTTTACAAAGTTGTATAAAGAAAGACTGAGAGTACAGTGTTAAAAAGGAGACAGAAGCTTGTCTGGGAGTTAGGGGATGGACATCAGCTAGTGGGTTTACAGAACACAAAGCAAGTGCACATAGGTGCTGTAGAGTGGACACCGGAAACTCTGGCAGTAAGAGAGTTCCTGCAATCTTGAGGGGCCAGACAGCAGGAAGTGCCAGAGATTCTTATCAACATGAGTTAATACTGTTTACAGCAACACTTGCCAACCTAGAAAGATTTGTTGTGGTTATTAGAGGTGGAGTCATATACATGAGCCAAGCGCAGTTCAGCATAATGGGTCAACCACATACCCAGTCATAATAATGGGATACATTTCATACCTCATGGCAAAATCACCTCACAATTTCAGAATAGCTCTAAAAGATAGGTTCTAATCAAAAGTGTCACAATTAATTCTTTGCTTATTTTCCTTGTAGAGAGTCAAGCTGCATTATTTCATACCAAGATCCGTGGGGGCTTCCAGATAGATGGAAGAAATTTTGGAAATCATGTAGTCCAATCTTTCATCTATAATGACTTCATCTTTAGAACTCCATGAAAGAAACTACTACTATACAGTGGACACTCCTCTACATTTCCCAAGCTTTCTTGACAGTATGCCTGAGAACACATGGCTGAGTTCTGACCAATGAGATGTGGGTAGAAATGATGTAAGTTACTCCTAGGTCTGGATCCACCTTGGATGGACAAGGACCAGCCCCTCTGTATCACAATGGGCTTTGCTTCAGAGATAAACACACTTGTGTTAATCATTGATATTTGCAGAATTGTCTATTGTTGCAGCTAGCATTAATTAATTTCCAAGGTTCTTTGTTTAATAACCTAGCAACTCAAAGAGTTGCCAATCACACAAGAAAAAGGCATGGAGATTATTATCATTACTCACAGACCCAATGGATTGAAAAAAAAAGTAGTCATGAGACCTATTTTTACAACATTGTAGCACTTACTATCTAATTAAGTGCTTATCTAAGATTATCATTTTAGACATAACTTATAAGACTAAAGATTCACTGAGGGGGCAGGAATGCATAGAAGGAGGAACACAGGGAGGAAGTGGGAAGAGAGCTGTCACACTGGGGGGGATTGCAGTCAATGTCATGAAACAAAATGTGTGTGAACTGCTATATGGAAAATTAATTTGCTCTGTAAACTTTCATGCAAATCACAATTTAAAAATTAATTTGGCAAATTTTTTTGTGTAATTTTCACCACAATAAAACAAAATCAATTCATTAAAAAAAAAAAAAAGACTAAAGATTCAACCCCCTGAGAATCAGGAAGTAGGCAGGAAAGATTTTTAAACAACCCAGTCTACAACTCAATAAAGCTCTTGAGCACCACTCAACAGTTAGCCCCTCAGGTTTATTTATTTACTCCAGTCCTAACAAACTTGAAAAACTGGTTCATTATTTCACATCAGAAAAAAAAAGAGGCAATTGGAAGCAGTATAAGGAGTGGTGCTAGAAGGAGGTACTGAGAAGGAAGAGCAAAACACAATATTCTGATAGTGGAGATATCATAAGAACTCTAAAAGGCAACATATCCAAACCCAAAACAAAACACAGGGCCCCATTTTTCAAGGAACAACTCAGCCCCACTGTTCCCAAGTCCTGAAGGCATCATTGCCAGGGGCTCAGGCCACAATTGATGCCAATAATGACAAATGGATGCCCTCCTTTACAATTAACTTTTGTAAGTTGTTAAAGAAGATATTGAAAGGCTTGAGGAGTCTCTGTAAATGGTTACCCAAATAAGTTTCAGTGTTTTAAGGTATATATTTGGTCATTCTCCACGGCATATAACAACAAATTTGGTCATTTGAAAAACTCATTTATGAAGGCTATTTCCCTAGGATGCCACATAATGATTGTCAAAAATATGCCACTGCCATATGCACACTGTTTGACTTAGAATGGGTGGTTGTTGTTGTTATGTGCCATCAAGTCGGCCCGACTCATAGCAACCCCTCCTTGGGTTGCCAAGGCAGTATCACTACGGAAGTACATTGCCCCATCTTCCTTCCCAGGAGTGGCTGGTGGGTTTGAACCTCCAGTCTTCTGGTTAGCAGTCAAGTGCCTTAGCCACTATGCTACCAGAGCTCCTTGGGTGCACAGATCCAGCGGGAAAGAAGCAAAGTTTCCATAAAAGCAAGAGCAAAATCCAATTTCTCGTTCATATGAGGTGGAAAGGACCTTAGTGGTCACACAGTCCAACCAACTGGCAGTTCAACCACTTATTAGGTGATCAAGGCCATATATGCATTTCATTATACAGGAGGAACCAGACCATGTTTTGGGAGCCAGGGCATAAGCAAACACCTCACAATTCTACTTCTTTGGACATACTCACAACTTCTCCAACATCCCCTGTGGCTTCCCAGTTGATCCACAGGCCTGATGCGCTTACCTGCAGAAAGCAGTGTCCTACTGGGGTATGCTCCGCAAGAGTGGCATTGTACACCTGCCTCAAGAAGATGGGTTCGTTGTCATTAACATCATCCACGGTGATGCTCACCAGACAGGTGGCAGAGAGCGGAGGCTCTCCGAGGTCCTGAGCCACCACTTTCAGTTGCACTGTCTCCTGGACCTCTCGATCTAGAGTCCGCATGGTGCTGATCACACCGCTTTCAGGATCAATGGTGAAGTACGGTCCGCACTCCATTGAGGGCGACAGAACCTCTAGAATACAGCGACCCGGGGGTTGGGCCAAGGCATAGCGCAGCCGGGAGCGATCCGTGCCAGGCTCATCTGCATCGGAGGCGCTGACCAACACCACGGAAGTGCCAGGGACCGCGGCCTCTGAGACTGACGCCCAGTAGTGCTCCTGGCTGAACAGCGGCGGCTGGTCGTTGAGGTCGGCGACTCGGAGCAGCAGTATCTCTTCGGTGCTCAGAGGGGGGGACCCCGCGTCCGTGGCCACCAGTCGCAACTCATATAGGTCGCGATTCTCCCTATCCAGAGACCCCTGGACGCAAAGAAAAAATACCCTCGGGGCGCCGCCGGCTCTCAGTGCGAAAGCTCCCTCCCCGCCCTCCAAGGACAGAGAAATGCCTCCGCCTCCAAGGCTCACATCAAGCTCCCCAGCAGCCTCCTCTTCCTTCTCCGGGTCGCCGTCCGCGTCCGACACCGAGACACGAGCCACGTAGTCGCCGGGTCTGGCGCCTTCGGAGACGCGGGCTACGCCGCCCTCAGTGAGGAAGAGCAGGTGAATGACAGGTCGGTTGTCATTCACGTCCAGCACCGCGATGGACACGCGCACAGTGGCGACCTCAGGCTCTGTACCACCATCACGGGCCTCGACTACCAGCTGGTGCCAGGCGTGCGCCTCGCGGTCCAGCGGCCTCCGCACTCGCACCACGCCGCTCAGCTCCTCCACAGCGAAGTAGGCCGCGTCGCACATAGTCTCCCCGCCCACACCCTGCGCTTGGCGGGCGCGGAGGCGGTAGCGCACATGGCCGTTGGGCCCCAGGTCGCGGTCGGTGGCGCGCACGTGGCAGACCTCTGCGCCTAGTGGGGCGTCTTCACGCACAGAGGCACGGTACTCTTCCTGCTCGAAAACTGGCGGGTTGTCGTTCTCATCCAGTACGCGGAGCTCCACCCGCAGGCGGCCAGTACGCCGAGGATGGCCGCCGTCCCAAGCCTCAATCTGCAGCTCGTGCGCCGCCACCGCCTCTCTGTCCAGGCGTCGCAGCAGTACCAGGTCCAGGGGCTCCAGGGGGGACGAGGAGCCCAGCAGGGCAGGCAGCGGTGGCCCCGGGTTCCCATAGCGCAACTCGAAGAACGGTCCTGCGAGGTCCCCGGGAAGGTCGGACATTTGCACCAGGGTGTAGCCCTGTGTGCTGAACAGCCCGGCGTCGGGGTCATGGGCACCTGGCAGGCGGAAGGCGGTACCAGAAGGGCTGAGCTCAGAGACGTCGAGCTGCAGGAAGTCGCGGGGAAAACGGGGCGAGTGATCGTTCACGTCGTTTACGTGGATCTCCACCTGCACCACGGCACCCAGCAGGGTGGCGGCCACGAAGCTGTAGTGGTCCCGCTGCTCGCGGTCCAGGCACCGCGCGGTGCGGATCATGCCGGTGTCCGGGTGCACGTGGAAGTCCTCTAGCAGCGGGGAGTCGTCTGAGTCCTCTGACAGAAAGAAGCCGCCCCCCTCCTGCTGCTGCGCGATGGGCAGCCCCGCGCGGATGTCGCCGACCAAAGTGTCCGGGGGAAGCCCCTCGTCCACAGAAAGGCTGAGGTTGAACACCTGGGCGGATGAGCTCGAGGTCGTCCACAGCCACGCGTGCATGAAGAGCCCGAGCAGGGTGCGCTGCGCCCCGGCGCCGCTGCTACCCAGACGCCTGCCGGGTGACCCTCTTCTCCCAGGGAGCAGGAGGTGCTTGCCGGAGGCAGCCCCCCACTGCTGGCTCGCTTCGTCCATCCTCCGCCCAGAAGGGCTCATTTCTCCGCCAGTTCCCGGGTAACTGTCAGCTTGTGGCGGGGTGACAGAAAAATCCAGGAGCCTCTTCAGTGTCTGAGCCATAGAAGAAAAGACTTTGGCAAACAAACCCACAGACCCAGGAGTTCCGGAGGTTACATCTGCCAACTGGTGAAAACGTCCTTCGGCGGGAGCTCACGCAGAGAAGAGGGAAGCTTGAGCCGCTTCTGCCGATGCAGCCACCTTTTCAGCTCCTGGATTTCTTTTAACGAGTGTCATCTCTCTCTCTCTCCCTTTATTCCTTTTGCCTCTGTTCCTTGTTCTGCTCGGCTGGTTGCCTCCCCCTGGTAAAGTCAGGTGCATTATTATTATTAGCCAAAAAGGAGGAAATTATTAAAGAGCGCACACAGGGAGAGGTTGGGGGTCGGGTTGGGGAAGGGGGTGGAGTAAGGGCTGGAAGGCCGGGAGTGAGGGCGCAGGGCCGGAGGGGAGGAGACTAGGAGGGGCAACTCTGGCTGCAGCAGCTTGGCCTGCTCCGAAGGTGGCCGTTCCCCCGGGCGTTTCCAGGCGCCAGGACAGCGCGGCTCCCCTTGCCACCCAATCCCTCCGCCTCCCTTCCCCGCGTGTGACGCGGCGCACACAAGGGCGAACTCAAACCTGCGAGCAACGGCTATGCAGCAGGGCGCTTTAGCGGTCCGGCCAGGGACAGAGAAGCAAGGAGCCGCAAGAGAAAGGACCAGGAGATTTGGACCGGGGGACGCGCAGCCCGGGCTTCTGCCTAGGCTTTTCGTGCAAAGTGGTGATGGGTAAGGGGAGGAGAGGAGAGCAGTCTCTCCACGCCTCTCTCCTCTGTCCCCTCGATGGTCCCTCCAACAGGCCTGACACTTGGCTCTGGCTGAGCGGAGAGGGTGGAGGTTATAATCACTTTGGGGAGCCAAACTTGTGTTCTGCATTTGGCAAGAGAGACTCGTCCTCAGCGGAAGGACAGATGGAGTCAAAGGCCGACGCACAGCTGGGGCCAGGATGGCTGTAGAGAGGGGAAGGCGGAACTTGGAAAAACCTTTGAGAAACCCGAGAAATCTGTGACACACATGGTGCAAATCCCGCTTAATTATGCCGCGCTACTACTCTGAGACGTGTGAGCGTCTTGTCACACCTTTCTGCCACGAGGAATGACAATAGATTTCGGCTCACAAACCCTTTTTATGAATTCAGCGCCATCACAGCACTTCCAGGATGTTTTATGATGCTGATTTATGGGCAGAAAGACTGGGTGGGTGCGACCGACCACCTCCCAGAACTCCATCACAGCCTGTAAACAAGGAAGTTGGCAAACAGGGCTAGTACTGATACCACTTTCAAAACTAGCTTGTATCTCAGCCCAAGGAAAATGAGAGTAAACCACCAGAGACGCAGGGTTCCTTTCAACTATGCATGCCAATCTGTAGAAATTGATAAATGGCCTCTAATAAAGAATGCCTGAGGAAAGACTCTCTTCCCTCTTAAGAATGGCTGGACATTTAGTAAATGGTTTCTGCAATTTTTCATTTAGGCCGGAAGGAAGAATTAATTTCTAAATACCGTTTTTCTCCTCCAGGGAGGACCAAAAACCCTGCATAGTTCCTTGCAGCAAGGATGTGTTTTAATATACAGTGGAATTATGTCTAATTGCTAATCTACAGTCAGGCTTTCGCCTATACCTCTGACAAAAAAATAATAAAAACGTTTATTTTATAGCGGATAAGCTTAATGTAAATAAAGGCATTATTAAAATAAGTTCAGCTTACTTTCTCTAACGAAGTCTCCTAACCATTAAGGAGATTTGTTATGAGCCTTTAGAGTCTTCCTGCACCTCAGCTGCTCCAGCAACACCCTAACTAATCCCCCTACCCTTTTGTCCCTTTATAAGTGTCCAGATTGTTGTATTTAAATTAAAGCTAAATCAAATCATTCTACCCCCTATTTAAACCAAAAAACCAAACTCACTGCAGTCCAGTGGATTCCACTCATAATGACCCCTCCTTGGGTTGCCGAGGCAGTATCACTACAGAAGTAGATTGCCCTATCACCCTTCCTAGGAGTGGCTGGTGGGTTTGAACCACCAGCCTTCTGGTTAGCAGTCAAATGCCTTAGGCACTATGCTACCAGAGCTCCCATAATCCCATTATTCTTGGATTATTGGACTCTCATGGAGTCCAAGACTTTGCCTAACAGTGACCTACCTACTTTGCTGACCTCATCATATACCGTCACTCTATATGCAGCCACACTGCCTTCTTTCTGTTCTTGGTACTTTTGGATTGTTAGAACAATTCTGTGCCTGAGAGGTCTTTCTTCTGTTTTGCAAAGATCTGGCTGCCTCTTCCTCATTCACACCTCAACCAAAACACTAATTATATGTAAAGATCTTCCCTCATTCAGCTTTTGCACTACACATCCTATATCCCTATATTACATTGCATTCACGGCACCTATCAGTTCTGAAGTGATTTTGTTTTATTCGTTTATTAGATTATTGTGATCTCAATCCTCTTTATGCACTGTAAGCACTGCTGTATCCCATCCCACAGAAGAGTACCTAGCATATAATTCACTATGTGGGAGCCTTGGTGGCCCACTGGTTAAGGGGCTGTTATCCAAAAGGTCAGGAGTTCAAATCCACCAGCCACTTCATTGGAGAAAGATGTGGCAAACAGCTTCTGTAAAGATTGTTGTGTTTTCCCATCTAGTCGGATCCGACTCATAGTGACCCCTCCTTGGGTTTCCGAGGTGATGTTTCTATGGAAGTAGATTGCCCAACCTTCCTTCCGAGGAGTGGCTGGTGGGGTTGAACTGCCAGCCTTCTGGTTAGCAGTCAAATGCCTTAGGCACTACACCACCAGAACTCCTAAAGAGCTCCTTGAAAACCCTACCAGGCAGTTCACTGTCCTATAGGGTCGATATGAGTTGGGATCTACGAGACAGTAATGGATATTCACACCAAGTGTGTCTTGAATGGTGGTTTGGTTGAACTGATGGTTATAGAGATAGACAAATCTGTTAAAGAAGAGGAGAGGTTTGAAGCCATAACTCAGAATTAATTCACTGTGAGTTCCCTCATTGTGATGCATTGTATCTTTGCTATCTTACTCATTTTAATTGTTCCATACCAAACAAAAGCCAAACTCATTGCCATCAAGTCAGATCCAAGTCATAGCAACCCCTCCTTAGGTTTCTGAGGCAGTATCACTACAGAAGTAGATTGCCCAACCTTCCTTCTGAGAAGTGGCTGTTGGGTTTGAACCACCAGCCTTCTGGTTAGCAGTCAAATGCCTTAGGCACTACGCCACCAGAGCTTCTTAAACTATCAACTTACATCGCTAAATGTATTGTTATCAGATTCTTACTTGAGTCCAAAGAAAGAGATAAGCAGCTAATATTTCTGCATTGTTTTTGGACACATTCTTTGTAAACAGTTGTTTAGTTTAGAAACAAATGGAAAATCAGGAAATTCAGCCATTTATTTCCTCATTGGTTGTAATGCTTTGTAATTCAAGCATGTGCAACTCAAAGTCTCCTGCCCACTTCACAAAATCCTTCACTGAGCATTCTGAACAGCATTCTAGTTGAGGGTTCAGTTTGGCGAAGCAAAGGAAATAAGAGCATTTCTAAATATATGGAAAATAATTTTAGATAGAACAGAAGTCAACAGCCAGCCAGAAGTATGTCAAAATTTGATCCTTTTGAATGAAACTTCAAAGTGTAACTTACAAGAGGTTTGTCTTTAAAGCCAGGAACCCCTGTTTTTGCTTTATGGCTTTGAGCAAGTTACTTAAATCTTGTTAACATCCCTGGGTGGCACAAAGGGCTACATATATATGGAGCTCTGGTAGCATAGTGCCTAAGGCATTTAAATGCTAACCAGAAGGCTGGCGGTTCAAACCCACCAGCCACTCCTGGGAAGGAAGGTTGGGCAATCTACTTCTGTAGTAATACTGCCTGGGAAACCCAAGGAGGGGTCACTATGAGTCGGATCTGACTTGACCACAGTGCATTTGGTTTGGGGGAAATAGATAGATAGATAGATAGATAGATAGATAGATAGATAGATAGATGACAGGAGTTCTGGTAGCATAGTGCCTAAAAGCACTTGACTGTTAACCAGAAGGCTGGTGGTTCAAACCCATCAGCCACTCCTGGGAAGGAAGGTTGGGCAATCTACTTCCGTAGTGATACTGCCTGGGAAACCCAAGAAGGGGTCGCTGTGAGTCAGGTCTGACTTGATGGCACCTAACAACAACAACAACCAATCAGTAAGTTCCCTGTGTGGTATAAACAGTTAAACCCTCAATTGCTAGCCAAAAGGTTGGCAGTCCGAACCCATCCAGAGACTCCTCAGAAAACAGACCTGACAATCTGCTTCCAAAGGTTGCAGTCTTAAAAATCCTATGGGATAGTTCTACTCTGAACATGTGGGGTTGCCATTAGTGGGAATGTACTGTTGTTGTTGTTGTCATGTGCCATCGAGTCAGACCTGACTCACAGCGACCCCTCCTTGGGTTTCCGAGGCAGTATCATTACGGAAGTAGATTGCCCCATCTTCCTTCCGAGGAGTGGCTGGTGGGTTTGAACCACCAGCCTTCTGGTTAGCAGTCAAGTGCCTTAGCCACCACGCTACCAGAGCTCCCTAGACAGCAATAAAAAAGCCTTCTGTTAAAGCCACTTTTCTTAATTGGGGATGATACCTCATTTACAGAGATATTATGTTCCTTAAAGGAAATAATGTATGTGGGTTAACATATAGAAGGCATTCAATATATATTACCTCTCTGGAGCTCTGTTGGTATAGTGCCTAAAGCATTTGACTGCTAACCAGAAGGCTGGTGGTTCAAACCCACCAGCCACTCCTCAGAAGAAAGGTTGGGCAATCTACTTCCATAGTGATACCACCTTGGAAACCTAAGGAGGGGTTCACTATGAGTTGGGTTCGACTCAATGGCAGCGTGCTTGGTTTTTGGTTTTGGCTTTCTGTTGTTAATGCGATG